ATGCACTGCAAAAGAAGCATTCAAATCCACTGCAATGTGCATCTTGTGTGTGTGTGCCTGCAGCAACACAAAGCAAAGAAGTAAAAAAGAGGAGCAGAGTATGTGGAGGGACGCACAAAAATGTACAGCGGAGACGCATAGCGGAAACAACAAGAATAAGACCGCTCAAACTCATGACTGCACTGCAGCCCAAGCAGCGGCAATCCACACAAGATTTATTTAAAACAGAAAAAAAAAACCATCCCCTTCGTCTTATACAAACCCCATCACACAAAATAATTATAAATAAAAAGAAATCGTCCATTACTGCTCCACACAAATTTAAAAAAACTGCCGGCTGCCGTGTGGCCACACCAAGCTGTCTGCATATTTTGCCCGAAATAAAATTGAAAAGATATTTAAATGTCTTTCAGCCGTCTGACCCTCTGTGTGTCCGCACATCGTTTATATTTCATGGGGCCATCGGCGTGCTGCTGCTCCCCTCAGCCCTCTCATCGGCGTGCGAGTGCGGCCCGCAGAGCACAGTCACTCGTGTGTGTGGGGACTGAGAGAAGCACGCAGACACGACGGCAGTCGCGTCACTCCATCGGGAGAGTGAGCGCAGCAAAAAAAAAAGAAATCATCGGAGGGAGAGAAATGCTGACGGGACTGCCAGCGCGTGAAATGAACACAAAAACAAAACAAATCCTTAAAGAAGAACACGGCGGCAGGGTGTGGCTGTGTGTGTGGCGCTGCGGGTGTCTGCCCGCCCTGACCGCAAAGAAAACAAACAAGAGGGAAAGAAATGTGTGCTCCGCCCCACAGGCCCTCGTCGCACGCCCACACGTCACGGCTCCCGCAGCGCGCCGTTCGTCGCGGCCCCTCCTCATGCGTGCAGCAGGCGAGGCGCACAGGGCCGTCGTCATGAGCGTGTCGGTGGGTGTGCGAGTGGAGCAGTTGGGCGGAAACACACGGCACCCCTCGCAGGAAGAGTGCAGCAACAAACAAAGAGGGAAGAGTAGAAAAGAAAAAAACGTCCATAGTGATTGCCCCAAAAGCAAAAAAGAGAAGGTATGGGGGATGAGAAATAATAATAATAATAAACAATAGAAAACAAAAAAAAAATTAAAAAAAGAACACACACTCGCACACACGCTCAACACGCAAAAAAAAAAAAAAATGATGAATTACAAAAAACGCACATAAAGAAAAGAAAATTATCTCAAAAAAAAGTTAGTTCTTGGAATTAATTCCGTGCTGGGGATGCCGCAATTGCCCCACGCGGCAGCCATTCACTCCTCACAGAGCCGCAAACCCCCATAGTCCCAACAGAAGAAGCAGAAGCAGCAGTCCGCTTCTGCAAACAGTGCACGCATCACCCGTTGATTCTCCAACGGCATGGGAGTTCCAACCCACGAACACGTGCTCTGTGTTGGCAGATTCCCCCACCGTTGCATTTTGCCCTGCTTTACTTTCTTTTTGAGGCTGCTGCAAGGTCGTTTGAACCACTGGAGCTTCAGAAGTTTTGCCTGCAATGGACGCTTCTGCATGAGATTCTTCTGCGGTGGACGCTTGTGCATGAGGTTCTTCGGTAGAAGACGCTGCTGCACGTGGTTCCTCTTCAT